AGCCTGTTGCCTGGAAATGCACACAGGATCGCTATATGCTATCAACTAGAGCTGAACACAAATCCTTTTTGTTACAATCTTATCTTAAATCTCTTTTAAAGGCATTCATCTCTTCATGTTATTAAGTAAAATAGGATCAACTTAACTGCGCGTTTATTAAGCGGTTAAGGATCTGTAGTGTTTTCCAATAATCACGAGTGAGTTTTTTTCTACTTCCTTTGTTTGTTTTTAGCTATAGATCCCTGCAAGAACTTCCTAAGGAGTGTAATGGTATCTACTGATCGCTAGCTTGAGTGAGATACACAATGTATAGGGAGCCTGCCCGACACATAAACAAAATTCTACTGAAGGATTAAGCTAGACTAGGGAAAAAAAAAGTGGTCTGAGGCTGAACCATACATCCCTGTATTTCAATGAACTTCACTTTGGAGATGCTTTATCCAGGGATGCTATGGTATATTCATTCACTGGACAGAAATCTACTTCATGCCATGCTACGAGCTGGAGGATACATGCGTGAGCCAAAGACACAACCCTGCCTTTAACATTAGTCTGGTCTGGTGTAAAAAACAGCACCATGCAAGCAACTCATCACACGTGCACTGTAAGGGTGTTCATGAGATCATTGGGAAGATTCTTCCCCAAAACCCCAGGAGACATTTCTGTCTGGCGCTTGGCTCAAAGGTAGTAGTTCTGTAAAATAACTGATCCGTTTTTGATATCATGGACACCCTACACTTCAGAACTAACGAAGCCTACTGTCTTTGCTGTCGAAAAACGCCGGGCCCACTTTGGCCCACCCATGGTCTGTGAGGGACAACATTTTACAACGGTCTCATTCTTAATTCAGCTTAATATCCCCAACCTTTTTCTCTCCCTTTCTTTCTCAGCTACTTCTAATTTCAATCTTATATTTTGTATTTTGTTTCCTCAGTCTTGTGGGAGGAAAGGTATAGTAGAAATAAGTAAATGAAAATATACACATGAAAATTTTAGGAAAGTAGAGTAATATATGCTGACTCCCAAAACTCCAAAAATTGACTTTCTGGATATTTCTTTGAATCCCTACTAAGAACTGCTTTTATTTTTTTCCTGCCTTAAATTTTAAGCTTCTGGGAGGTGGGGGTGGGGGGGAACTGAAGGAAAATATTTATTTGAAGTCTAGCTGTGTTCTTTTTTTTTTTAATGTTTATTTATTCATTTATTTTTGGGAGACAGAGACAGAGAACACAAGTGGGCAGAGAGAGAGAATCCCAAGCAGACTCCATGCTGTCAGTGCAGGGTCCAGTATGGGGCTCAAATGTGGGGCTCAGACTCACAAACCGTGAGGTCATGACCTCAGCTGAGATCCAGAGTCAGATGAGTAACCAGCTGAGCCACCCAGGCACCCCCTGGCTGTGTTCTTTTTAACTATGTAAGGTCTGAAGGCAGAAAGCAACCATTTATAAATGAGAATACCCCCACAGGCCAACTGACATACACAGAACTTGCTCTAGTGACTAGGTGACACTATATAAAAATTGAATTATATAAAAAATGAATTTACTTTAAGTGAATCAAAATGCATTTCTATTGTTACCAGTTCTAGATTTAGGGTATCAGGTCATTAAGCTTTCTCCAAATGATTTCATATTAAGTTCTTTTTTTTTTTTTTTTTAAGGTAGGGAGGGGCAGTGAAAGAAGGAGAGAATCTCAAATAGGATCCACGCTCAGTGCAGAGTCGGATGCAAGGCTCAATCCCACAATCATGAGATCATGACCTGAGCAAAATCAAGAGTTGGATGCTTAACCGACTGAGCCACCAGGCGTCCCAAGGTCTCATCAAGCTTTCATCTAATACAGAGCCAACTGCAGCCCAAATTCTAGCTCTCATTTGGAAGATGAGATCTACAGCTGAAAATGATTTGCCACTTTATATAGAGGTTAAAAATGACATCTTTTCAAATTTGCTTTTATTTAAAAATTTTTTTTAACATTTATTTATTTTTGAGAGACAGAGACAGAGCACGAACAGGACAGGGGCAGGGAGAGAGGGAGACACAGAATCCAAAGCAGGCTCCAGGCTCTGAGCTGTAGCACAGAGTCTGATGCGGGGCTCAAACCCACAAACTATGAGATCATGACCTCAGCTGAATCAGACACTTAACCGACCGAGCCACCCAGGGGCCCCTAAATTTGATTTTTAGAACTAAGTTAAGAACAAGCTTAAATTACGCTGCTACTTTTACTACTATGAAGAAGTCAGAAGAACCAAGGAGAGTGTGAGAGAGAATGTGGCATCTCTGCAAAGGCACATACAGCACACAGACAGGACTCATCTTTCTGTGGAGCCCACGCACTGGGGTACTGGGAGACACACGCAAGTATGATGCTAAAAGAAGAAAGAAGTTTGCACGCTCTTGTTTTTCAATCACTACCACCCTTGGGATCAATCTTTCAGACTCCCTTTGTACTTTATGGTATGCATTATATAAAATGGATATATAACAGTTATATCAGTATAATTATATTAGTATTATATATTATATCAAATATATAATTATGTATTATATATAATATTATATATTATATCAGTATAATTAGATAGTATTTTCCTTTAACTTTTCCTTTACGATAGCCCCAAAGCCTTAAATAAGTGAATATAGAGATGTTACCTTTTAGCTCTTTACCTACAAAATACTCAACTGAAAAATAAACCACATTAAGAAACTTATGTGCATGTACACCTCAGATGTACTTCTTCTTAATACCAGATAAAAGACACACCACCATTATGTTCCCCTAAGCCTTCTTCGTTGGCGTTACCTTCAGATTCTTATAGGCATAAGAAAAGGCCCAGGGGAGCATCACTGAGCATTTTAATGGAACAAGGCCAAAAGGAAAACTTTGTGAATTAAACAGATGTTCTAGTTTAGAAAGTCATTTGAACAATGAGTAAAATCTCCAAATAAATTTCAAACACGGGGGCGCCTGGGTGGCTCAGTCAGTTAAGCGTTCAATCAGGTCATGATCTCGCGGTTTGCGGGATCAAGCCCTTGTCAGTGTGTGAGCTGACAGTGCGGAGCCTGCTTGAGATTCTCTCTCTTCCTCTCTCTCTCTGCTCCTCCAACTGCTTGTGCATACTCTCTCCCTCTCAAATTTAAATAAACATTAAACAAACAAACAAGAAAGGGCACCTGGGTGGTTCAGTCAGTTAAGTGTCAGCTCTTGACTTCAGCTCAGGTCACGATCTCACGGTTTGTGGGTTCAAGCCCCACATCAGGCTCTGTGCTAACAGTGCAGAGCCAGCTTGGGATTTTCTCTCTCTCCCTCTTTTTCTACCCTTCCCCATCTTGTGTGCTCTCTCTCTCTCGCTCTCTCTCTCAAAATAAATAAATAAACTTTTTTTAAAAAGAAAAGAAAAACAGCTTTATAGGCAACAGTTTTTTTTTCCTAAATAAAGTATTTAATGGGTGCCATTTTTAACCAATAGCACAATGTCAAATGAGTAATTATAACATTTGGTAATATAATCTCGTAGTTCAAATATCAAATAATTTCACACATATTTTGTTTTGTTTTCTTTCTTGGTGTCAGGAATAGAGTAAAATCAGTTAATTAAAATCAAAATCAGAAACTACTGCATACATGGCTCAATTTTGAAACAAACCAAATAAAAAGGTTGTTTTCAACCTAAAATATTATAAGCTTCAAAATGATTATACACACCTAACAACGAATCTTAAAAAGTCAGCTCTGATATGGATTTAACACCAGGTCTTCCGTAATGTTTTTCATTAAGAAATTCCAGAAAACCCTTCAAACTCTATAAGCAAACAACATTCTTGATGATACTGGCAGAAATTTAGGAAGAATTAAATTTCATTACCATATTGACTGAATTCAGGAAGCTTGCAAATGACCATTTTTCACCCCTGTGATGTGTGGGATATAACTCATCACAGCATTATATGTATTCACTGATTTTTTTCTAACCATTTAAAAATGAGCTGTCTATAGCCCTATAAAAAAGTAGCAGCCTCTGTAATTTTAAAAGGATATTTCATATAATTTGTATTTTTTTGGTGCAATTATACCATGAATATGCATTAAAACACAGTTTAAGTATGCAAGTGATGAATCACAGGAATCTACCCCCAAAACCAAGAGCACACTGTATACACTGTATATGAGCCAACCTCACAATAAATTATATTAAAAATAAATAAATAAAATAAAAATGTGGTAACAGCAAAAAAGAAAACAAAACAAAAAAAACACAAAAAAACAAAAACACAGTTCAAGTAAGAATACCCACAGGATCCCTAATCAACTCATTGCCTATCTTTCTGACAGCAGGTAGACACATTCACTATAAACAAATAAAATAAATTTAAGCTAATCAACAAGGAAGTAGTAAGTTTGTTTTCAAATCTTGGAAATCTGAAGTAAATTATTATGTAATTAGAATTCCTCACATAATTACACAACACTGGTTTTCCTAATGTTGGTAGTTCTTGGATAAGTATAGTTTGGTAGTTATTGGATAAGATCTTGTTTATAAATTGCCAGTTAATCCTATCACATTCATTTTTAGCTCCTAATTGTCACAAAATGTAAAGAGATCTTAACTGGCTAAAATCTCTTGTTGGCAAAAGTCTTAACCACTTGGGGCTCAAGCAAAATCTAAAGCCAGATGACCATGATACATGCTTGTTAAACAGGGGGGAAAGAATTCTCAACAATCGAGATGATAGTATTTACTCAATTCAACAATTTATGTTTTCTTTGGCTAGGCTGTAGCTAAATATTTTCCTGCTAACTTTAAACATGGACGTTACTGGGTCTTTTGAAACTGTGGACCATTCATAAGCCGCTGACACCACAAATAACAAGCAACTCCTCCCCTCCACTCACACACACCTAGGTGAAAATCTGGCCTCTGAAATCTCATCTGAGTATGAATTCATTTCTTTAAATTACAGAGTTAATACAGTAAGAAGAAAAAGACAAAAATCTACCAACTAGGCTGAGCTGCCATCCTCTCCATGTAGTCTTTGGCCATGTCTCGAGCTTCAATGTTTTCAGGATACAGCACACAGAACATTGCCAAGGCGCCCAAGTTGTTGCCGTAAATTTCATTCCAGCGGGCGCTGTAGTCCTTGGGGTCCCAGGGAGGGAGGTACTCCAAGGGGCTGGACAGCATGGTGTGCACGGCCTCGGTAAGCCGGGCGGCAATGTGCTCATGGGAGCCCGCAGCCCTGAGCTGGAGCTCCGCCACCTCGTCCCTGGAGAAGAACAGCATCGGGTGGCTGTCGTAGTGGGCATTGGTGAAGGGAATCATGACTTCTGGGTTCTCGTCGGTGACGTAGGCTGACACAAAGCAAAACAAATATATGAAAAACACACTGGGAGCCCCCCGTGTGTGAGTCCTCATCGTGGCATCAGATCTCCAAGTCTCCAAGGCAGCCAAACCATCTTCGAAAGATCCTACATGAGGAAAAAGGAAGAAAAGGGTATGTCAACCAGGGGAACATGACCAATAGGAAACACAACCTTGCTTGTATTATGAGGTCTAAATATCTAAAAAATAAAGCTTATGGATTTAGATTTTTTTAAAAAATGCAACAAAAATCTGAGCTAGGAAGAGACTTACTAAAACCTAATAATTTAGTCACGGAAATAAAAGGTACAACATAATAGGTAATACGGTCAATGATATTATGATAGCGTTGTATGGTGACAGATGGTAGCTACGTTTGTGGTGAGCACAGCATAATGTCCAAAACTGCCAAGTCACTAAGTTGTTCACCTGAAACTAATGTAACACTGTGTCTCAACCATACTTAAATAAAAATAATCTAATTTTATTAATCAATTAAACATGATACATCAGATATATATTCACTGAGGGAAACAGAACTTTGGACTTGGGGAAACCATGTAATATATTTGCTCAAGCAGGGAAGAAAAACTCTCCTTGGTATTTTTCTCACACTTTGTCATACAAAAAAAGTTTAGATTTTATGGTATTTTTTAGACATTAATATGAAAACCACAGTAACCAAAAGCTGGTGGTGAAATGTTGTCTGGGAATCTGAATGGACATTAGGAAAGAAGAAAAATCCTGTCTTTCCTTCTTTCTTTTTTTAAGTAGGCCTCACCCCCAGTGTGGAGCCCAATGCAGGGCTTGAATTCACGACCCTGAGATCAAGACTTGAGCTCCGATCAAGAGCCGGATGCTTAACCCACTGAACCACCCAGGCATCCTAATCCTGTCTTTCTTCATATAGGCTCCTTTACTCTGGCCTCTCCCAGCTTCCTAACAATCTGCATTCTAAAGCAGGGATTAGGATCAATACATCTGTAAGAATGTGAGCAGACAAAATATTACGAGTAAGGCTATATTCTCTTTGTGTCAGCAGAAGGTGGGGACGGAGAAGACAAAGCAGGGTAAACCATCAGCCAAGCCCTTGCAATCCCTGGGCTGACATCAGCCAAGTATGCAGTGAAAGACCAGACAAGGAGCTGCTGAGACTAGAAACTGACAGGCCTTCACTCAGAAAATAAAACCCCAGAATCAAAAGGCTGAAAGAACATGTGTGCATTTTCCCCTTATTATTTGACACTGCTGCCCATTATTTCATTTTGCACATGGGATTTTGGTATGTCATCCAGTAAGTCAGACATTGAAACCAAGCTATTTTCTTAACCACTTAACTTTCTTAAAAACCCTTTTTTTCAGTGGCACAGGTTAAAAGAACGTCTTTCAAATACAAGAACATTTTAAAAAAAGAGAGAAAAGGAAAAAGAAAACCTCAGCCTAGTCTATGTCCTACATCTGGGATAAAGCAGGCATAAAATCCCCCAGAGGAAAGTCAGGGAATTCTTAAAATTCTTCAGAGGGGAAAGGTTATAGAAAGCAGACCAGAAAAAGACAGTTTTATGTAAATAATGAACAGTAGTTTTCAATTATTAAAGAGAGAAACTGATGGAGAAAAATCAACCTCCCCAGCTGAACACAAACTACTTTTCCAAGGAAAAACTGCCTCATCAAATTCACAAGAAAGAAAACTAAAGATTTAACACACATTGGAGATCAATCCACATTCTCAGCTTGCTGTATCTCCAAGAAAAAGGCAATATGGCATCACTTATGGACACTGCCATTAATTCTAATTCTTTATATTTCTGAATGTGTTTTAGACTATATGTATGAAATTCAATGGCAGCAATTTTGCAAAGCATTTTAGATGTATTTCAAGAGTAGAACTTGTGATGAATTAAAAAAATTGGTATAGCCATGCTAAATAAAATATATGAAATAGAAATAACTCTTGGAATCTACTCATATTATGTCTAGCACCCAAAGCTTCACGGCGGCTGGCTAGACCCTTCAAGGTCAGAGGCCTGGCCAAAAGAAATAGTCCTCCGTGGTTATGTCTGAGGAGGGGTGTGGTCTCTGGCAACACAGAGACATGGCTGGGTCTGAAGTCATGCTTAGTCCCCACTGCCCCCACCTCCACTCCGAGGCTTATTTTTTGCTCTTTTTCATTGAATATCCATGCAAACAATTAAAAAAAGAGCTTGCATATGTTAAATCCCCCAAAGTTTAAGGCTGGATGCAGTTACCAATGCAATTAACACTCTGGAGGTTTTAGGCACCCAGTGTGAGGATGGATTAGGAGTTTTTCCTTTGATGCTTAATTGAAGATCTTCTCTCAACTACTCATTTTTGAATGTGTAGCTCACGTTCTAGGTGTTTGTGAGGTGCTGGATTTTGGAGGGATGGCTAAGAACCCACTGGGAGACTAGAATTTGTCTTAGATCCTATACCAACATTCCCTAAACGTAGCTACAGGCAGATTGGTTTTATTCTCTTCCTCCTCCTGTTATCCATACTATCCTCCTACTCAGGTCCAGAGTTACTGAGGTAGTGGGGCGCTCCAGAGGATCCCTTACAATGTAGGACTCACGCTGTGATCCCAGGCACTTCTGCCACATTGCGTCCAGTTACGTAGGTCATGGCTAAGTGTATTTAAACAAGAAGAGTTGCTCCTGAAGCACAGAACCTCATTAAGATGTTGTTTTGGGAATGATGCCATCTCAACATGCCAACTGTTATTGAAAGTTCCCTAGTTATTGCTTCAAATTCACATGCGGGTATGAGGGCAGAAAGGCTGTGAGCTACCTACCACACATTTAAGACATTAATTCTTGTTGGAATACCATGTGGACCAATGCAGAACCCACAGAAATTCTACAGAACAATCACAAAGACTGCCTGAAAAGAAAGGACCACAGCGTTCATCGTGTCACAGACTATGTTGCCTTCTTATTACATTGCACTCAACCACCCAGCCTTCGCAGCTCTCCCGGTGATTAAGGCCTTTGTTGACCTATCCAAAGAGTTCATTTCTTCTGTATTTGGCACATCCTTGTATCACATGGAACTATTCTGGCGGTTTATATGCTGTGCCTCACAGAAGGTGGGACCATAGCTTCCTCTTTGTATCACAGGGCTTAACACTGTGCTTGACGAGGAAAAGGCAGCTCCTGATGCTGGCTGAACTGAATTAACCCTTGGGCTTAGGACTGGCAGAGTAGATATCATCACTAAAAATGAGAAAGGAGAAACCTTATTCCCCCTTATTTGAAGCCAAAGCAAGTTTAGAATTTTTCAGAAAAAAAATTCTGCTAGGAAACTTATAGAGGAAACAAACTATTTACAAGGCCTAGAAACTCCTGCAGCCTAAAAATAATTTTGAAAGAAAGATAAAAAAGAAAGAAATTAAACCATATAAAGCCTAACCCAAACTACTGAGGCTGATAACCTAAAAGGAGACGTCTACCATCTTAAGTCTGTCTAGAAAATTCCATTGAAAAGCCCCTATTTCTAGTCTTTGGGTTTCCTCTTTAAACTTCTACCTTCTGGGGGGCACTTGGGTGGCTCAGGTGGTTAAGCTCTGACCTTAGCTCACGTCATGATCTTACAATTCGTGGGTTCGAGCCCCTCATCAGGCTCTGCATTGACAGCTTGGAGCCTGGAGCCTGCTTCAGATTCTGTGTCTCCTCACTCTCTCTGCCCCTCCCCGACTTGTGTTCTCTGTCTCTCTCTCTCTAAAAAATAAATACGTATTAAAAAATTATTTTAATATATACATATTTAAACTTCTACCTTCAGCATTCTG